AAGGGAAATATCCCAGAAACTTACTTTTTTTTTTAAAAAAAAAGTGAAAGTAAAATGGAAAAGAATATCTGATAATCAATTTAGTACCATATGACCAACAAGATTCTCAGGAAAGTAGAAATCCGAAATATTAAAAAAAAAAAATTCCTAGAATGGAAAAAAATGTAACTTTGTGTTAAAAAGGTGCAGAAGGCCTAGCACAATGAATCAAAAAATTACATAACAGGGCACAACTCTTTCAAATTTAAAAACGCCAAGGATAAATGAAACATTCTAAAATCTACTAGAAAGACTAAGGAAAAAAATCGCAAAATACTGGTCTTCACAACAATACTAGAAGCTGGAGGACAATGACAACATCTTCAAAATTCTGAAACAGACATTTTCCCAACTCAGAATTCTGTATCTAGCCCAATTATAAATCAAAAGTGAAGACAGACCAAAATATTTTCAGTATTTTAAACTACAGAAAAATGATCACTTTGGAAACCTCTGCAGGAAATGTCTGAAGCATGTGCTTCATCAAAGAGTAAAGCAAGAAAAACATAAGTTCTAATAAAAGAGAAAAGGAAGGAAGATTCCTAGAATGACAGCAAGGACATGTCCGGAACAGCTGTGCACCAGGCACGGAGAGGGGCACAGGTCCAATTTGGAGCAGGATGGAGCACTGACCAGGCAGGGAGGTGTGTGGACAAACTTGGAGGAGAGCTTCTGTATAGCATGAAATGACTTAACCAAACATACAAAGAAAACTAAGGCAATGAAATATTAGTTACTCTAGGGGAAAAAAGGTGTAGGAAAAAGGGGAACACTGCAGCACAGCAGTAACTAAACTTTACAGTGACAATAATGAAAAGACAGAGTGTGGATTAAGCCAAAATACTATATAGGGGTGATAAGGGAAAAGGGCCAAAGTATTTTATGTTCTGCTATAAGAAATAATTAGTATACCTGAAATAAATAAAATATTATATGTTGATTTTTATCAATTTTTAAAAAAGACAAATTATACTGTTTAAAATTTCCATATATGCACATTATCCAGAAATATCAAAGTATATACTAGGGAAAAAAGGGTAAGGCATTTAAAGAGATTTGACTAATATACATCATTTTCAGACTTTAACATTACATAACTTTTTAAAAAGAATGTCTGTGTTACTTCGACACAAAATTTTTATGTTGAACAAAACAAAAAATTGAAAGTTTTTTGTATTGGGGCTACAACAGGTAGTAAGGCAAAGTTCATGCCTCAAGTGAGTTTCTATTGAAATAAAAAGACAAGTAAACAAACAAGCTTATATGATGACAGGGATAACTGTTACTCAGAAAAATGGTAAAGACAGGGAGAGTGAGTGTCGGGGTGGTTAAGAGTGGTCAGGGAAGGAAGGCAGGCAATGTATATGTGTATGTATCTATCTTTATTAACCTTGAAAAAAGGCTATTTTAGTATTCTTATCAATCTACGGCACAAGTGAGCTAAAGCCATTTCATTCTCTTCATGACTTATTAAGTCCGGGAACCCCCACCACCACCACCATATTAGCAGTAACAAATTGGCCATAAAACACTGCCTTTTTTTTAGGCCTGGGCATTAAATGCAAAATGAAACTAGTTGAGTTTTTAAACTGGCTTCAATTCCTGAAAAAACATTCTGTTAAAAGAATGCCTAAAACTTTACCTATTGCTGGCCCTTTTTGTATGGGTAAATTTTCTCTCTTCAGAAGGCATCACATCTGATTCACTCTGACTCAGAACAGGTTTTACAACTTCTTGGCCCTTTGGTCTTGCAAGTTTTAGATGTCTCAGAACCAGTTCTAGACTAGTTATGGACAAGCAACATAGTACATGGAACCAAAAGCATTCAGTTTTCCAGCACTGAAGAGAGGAATAATCAGTTTGCAATGAAGATTTCCAGGAAACCCGTGAATCTCTACAGGACAACATATTCCCGAGCCCTTGGTGAGCAGGCGAAACAAGAGAACGTGAAGGCGCACGGGCTTAAAGAGCAGGGCAGAAAACAAAGCAGCACTAGTTTTAAAAGTTGATAGATTTGGGGATAGACATTTATCCTCGGGCAGGACACTTAGGATGCTTAACGAGAGACGGAAAAGGCCCTCCAAGTGCCTCCCGGTATCATTAGGTGCTTTCCGCTTTCCTTCACTAAAATCCCCAAATTCTTGGTTTGGCTCTTGGGAGACCAAATGCCCCTTTTCTGCCTCTCCATTTCTCCCCGTCATCACGTCTCTCCAGCATCTACTCCCAGCCTAAAATACTGAGTTTTTACCCAACCCTCTTGACTAAGTCACTTCTCTGCGTCTCAGAACGCTAGTGTCCACAGAGAGCCCTGCCTCCCGAGCTGTCCCCTTCGGCGGCCAGACCCACTCCCTCCGCTGCCAGCCGTTGGGCAGCTCCATCCTTCTTACCTTGGTTACAGAAGAGGCTCCACAGTTTGGCGAAGATCAGCCCCATCACGAGCACCCGGGCGGGCCGCGGGGTCCCCCAGCAGCAGGTGCCGCTGCGCCGGGCCCCGCACCGCGGCGCTGGCCGCGGGGATCCGAGGAGAAGCCGACGGGGACCGCGCGGGGAGGGCACTGGCGGGCCGGGAAGCCGCGGCCGGCCGCCCAGCTACCCGCAGGAGGCGCCGCGCCGCGTCTCTGCCCGAGAGGCCTTTGTTCGAGCCCGCTGAGCCCAACGCCGACCCGTAGTCCCCTCGGGCTGAGCCCACCTACCCACCGGAGCCTCAGCCAGTCCCCAGCCCGCCTCCGCCCCGCCTCCGCCGCTGACCCCGGAAGGACGGCGCCGGACGTCGCGGGCTGATGTCACCCCCGCCTCCGACGTGGCGCTTCCTCGGTTTCGCTTTCGGCGGGCGGGCTCCCCGCCGCCGGGTCGCGGGGAGGCGGGGGGGCGGGCGGCACTGGCCAGTCGCGGAGCTTCCCTGGCTGAGCCCGTCTTCTCCCATCGCTGTTCGGAAGTCCTTTCGCTTTCGTGAGTCGCTGCTGGCTGGCAGGTGCGTCCCTGGCCCCTCAGCCTGGGGGCGGAGTGCAGTTTCTCTGGCTCGGCCGCCGCCGTTTGCTGCACGGAAAGGAGTGTTTCAGCTGTCACCCGGCTCAGGCTGGCAGGCAGGCTTGGGGTTTGCCGGGATTTTTAATTCTGAGTGGAGTAGATTGGGATGGGATCCATGGAATGCCAGCAGCCACAGAGTTCATGTTTGTGAATAACCTACAGCCCCCCAGTTTTACTAAGTATTTGGTATTTTTCAGGATCCCAAATCCACAAAATAAAACTTCCTTTCTGAAGTGTTGAAAGGAAGTAATTTCCTTTGATTAAAGGCGAATCCTAGGAACAGCTGTCTCCTGTTCAACAAAATGGGAAGAAAATCTGCAAGTGCAGTACTTGGAGCAAGGAACTATTGTAAACTGACTTCCGAAAGTACTTGGGGGGACTGGCTGCAGCTGGAATTGAATTCAGTTTATTACCCAGTTACGTAAGAGGTGTGTGTTAGATATACATGCCAATTCGCTGCTGAATGGTTTCAGTTCCATTTTCCTTTCCGTGGTTAGGGTCTATTCTCTTTATTGCTCTTCGTTTAGCTTATCATCATCATCATTACTTCTTACTTTCGGGGATTTTTCCACACTTCCTTTTTGGATTAGCAATACATTTCAAAAAATAAACTTTTTGTGCTTTATCAAATGTGTGTGTGTGTTTTTTTATGTTGTAGTTTGTCATAATGATTCAGAATATTAATTCCCAAATGGCCAGAAACAAAAGTCTCACGGTCTTTTCAGAGATAAATAGGAAATACCATTTTAATTCCTCTGAGCTTCTGGAGAAGAAGGAAATCGAGGAAGTAAATAACTGCCTTGCAATATAGGAACGTACTTTGCAAATATCTCAATTGGGGAGGCGGTGTGGCAAGATATCATTTAGCGAGAATGTTTTGCCTGAACTACAGCTTCTGCAGTGCCTGCAGGTTGGAGGGGCTGATACATTAATTCTGTTTTCTGTGTAACTGCGAACTGTTGCCCTAAATTACTTTCTAAAGGTTATAGATTATAGTCAAATCCTCACGGAGAGGATTAGATGGATAGGAAACCAGTCACAGAATCTGTAATAAAATTTTCTTAGCTAAGATCCTTCTTTCTGAGAGTATCTACAACATGAGTATTATCTAAGAACTCATAAAATTCAATACCTGCTAAATGGCCTCACATTTCAAATGTCTAAACATTATTTTATTTTAATAATGAACCAAGTGGTACCACTCCAATAATGGACTTGAAGTAGGTTTAAAAAAAAACTTTTATGAATCTGATTAAAGATGTAAAACTCAGGGAAAATTGAAAATATGTTGGATTAAATTTCTTGACACTGGAATAACCCTGGAAAATTTAAGTGACCTCTTGCCTTTTTGATAATCCTGCAGACAACTATAATGTTTTCTTGAAGTACAGGATTCCGTGCAAGGCCCTTCCTTTACTTAAGAAACTTTAATTGCTATTTCTGACTTCTTTCCAGACATCTCTATGTGGATGCCCAGTTCACAGTCAAATGATAACTATCTGAACCTGAGCTTAGTAATGTTTACTCCTGTTAAATCAAGATTTATTGAAATCTTCCTTTATAGCATGTTCTTTGCAAGGCAAAGCGAGTGAAAGATGAATTAGCCATACGCTTATCTTCCAAGCGACTTTCAGTCCACTAGCGATGGGTAGGAGGGACAGAAAGCATGTTTTCAAAAGAAATCACATGATGTGGTAAGGGCTAGAATGGAAACTTATGCAAATAATTCTTTTTCTAAATGTTCATAGCATCTTATCTTTTTCTCTCTCATGGCATTATTACTTTTACCATTTAATACAGTCATTTGTCACTTCTATGACTTCAGACTTTTTTGAGGGGTAAGACATGAATATTATGTTGTGTGCTTTAAGACAATTTTTTGAGCAGTTTTAGGATTACTGCAAAATTGGGGGGAAGGGACAGAGATATTTGGTGTGCTCCTTCCTCCCCTCCCCCACAGCTTCCCTTATTGGTAACATCCCCCACCAGAAGGCTGCATATGTTACCATTGCTGGACCTGCATCCAAACATCACAATTACACCAAGTCTGCAGTTTGCATTAGGAATCGTTCTTGGTGTTGTACTGTCTTTGAGTTTGGACAAATATATAATGACATGTATCTACCATTAGAATATCATAGGATATTTTTACTGCCCAGAAACTGAGAATGTCTGTCTGCTTTTAGGAGGTTTTGACCCATCTCCTTTTACCTTTACAGCCCCAGAAAACAGGAAACATCCTGTTGACTAGATGAAGTGTTGCTTTGGTTCTCTCAAGTTCCCTATTTGCTACACTGTTTCTTCTAAGGGTAGTCAAAGCTTTATCACTTTACATTTTCCCCTTAAAGGCTCTGTGCTAAGGCAGACTTGAAGCTTGGACAAATTAGATCTTGAGTCTACAACAGAAATTCGAAGGCTTTTCCTTTACCTCAGTCCGCATCATTCGCCATTCAACAGAGTGTGTACAGACCTTTTCCACTGAGGAGGGAGAGGACTGTGAGGATGGTGATAAAAGAAACATTGTGTTATTTTTCTCCCCTTGAATTTGTTCTCAAATCCCCTTTTCTGGTAGTTTACACATTTTCATTTTGCGGCTGATGTTGGCAGGGATGACAGATTTTTAATACTGAAATGGTGTGAAAATATTTCTGATAAAACCTGGAAAACAAATCTTTCCAGCACAGCCACTTGCCGACTGTGTAGGTTTCAAGTCCTTGAAGCTGTATATTCTTGATACCTCCTTGTACTTTAATACATTGCATTGGAACCTTCTACTTAGGTTTCTCAGTCCAGAGAACAAATAAAATTTCCTCAAGGACAATAACCATTCCTTTTCATCTTCCATCCCCAGTACATAAACACAGCTGTCATAGCGTCAGCACTCAGGAGATGCACAGTGATTTCCCTTGATGAGAAAGAAGCACAAGCTGCTGTTTTGAGGTCAGTTAGCTGAAGGTTTTTAACAGTTTAGGTCCTGTGGCTCTTCAGTATGAAAAGCTAAATATAAAAAGAAGAGAGTTTAAAAATTTATTCATCTCCCCAAGCCCACATCATCTCTCCAAAGCCACATCTCCCCAAGTCCATGTCATCTCCCCAAGTCACCATCATCTTCCTGAGCTGGCATCATCTTTCCAAGCCCACATTTCACCAAGCCCACATCATCTCCAAAAGCCCACGTCTCCCCAAGCTCACATCATGTCCCCAAGCCCACATCATGTCTGCGAGGCCACGTCACCTCCCTGAGACCGCGTCATCTCCCCTGGCCCAAGACATCTCTCCAAACCCACAACTCCCTGAGCCTGCTTTATCTCTTGGAGCCCACATCTTCCTAAGCCCACATTATGTGCCTGAGCCTGATTCATCTCCCTGAGCCCACATCTCCCCAAGCCAGCGCCATCTCCCCAATCAGCATAATCTCCCCATCCCACATCTCTCCAAGCCCACATTATGTCCCCGAGGCCACATCATGTCCCCAGGTACACATCATCTACCTGAGCCCACAGCATCTCACTGAGCCCGCAGCATGTTCCCAAGCCCACATCTCCTCAAGCCAACATCATCTTCCCAAGACAGCATCATCTCCCTGGCTCACATCTCCCCAAGCCCACATCATGTCTCCAAGGTGACATCATGTTCCCGAGCACACATCATCTCCTCCAGGCCCCGTCATCTCCCTGAGCCTGCATCATCTCCCCGAGCCAGCGTCATGTCTGTGAAACCAAATCATCTCCCCAAGCCTGCATTCTCTCCCCAAGCCCACATTTGCCCAAGCCCACATCATCTCCCCAAGCCTACATCATCTCCCTGAGCCCTTGTGTCGATGAGTCGGCATCATGTCCCAGAGCCCGCATCATGTCAGCGAGCCCAAGTCATGTCCACGAACCAGAAAAAAGTCTGCGAGCTCACGTCATCTCCCCAAGACCTCATCATCTACCCTGGCCTAAGACATCTCTCTGAGCCCACAACTCCCCGAGTCCACATCATCTCCCCAAGCCCACGTCATCTCCCCAAGCCCACGTCATCTCCCCAAGTCTGCATCATCTCCCCGAGCCCACATCATCTCCCCAAGTCTGCATCATCTCCCCGAGCCCATGTGTCATGGGTGTTTTTGTCTGTGTGTGTGAATGTCCTGTGAGATCACAGGACTCCTCAGGAAAGTGTGAATTTCCTCACACTGGTATATTTAGAAAATATAGGTGCTGTACTGGATTACCTCCAAAGGTCTCTTTCTGTACTCTGATTATGAGATTTAAAATGATACAGAGTCATTAATAATTGATCATGATAATTGACTGATCCCCTCCTGCCCGCCACTGTAGGAGTGGGCACAGAAGTGCCCCGGAGAGAGTCAGCTTTAAAACACTTGCCAGGTCCTGTCCACTCAAGACCAGCTCCGAGGAGTGTCGGCCACTGAGGAGGAGCTGGTGCGCCCCCTGCAGGTTTGACCTCGGCAGGGCCAGAAATCATAATTAGCCAGCTGCTGGAGGAAGGACGGAGCCAGGCCAGGAGAAGAGGCCTGCACTGCCTTCCCCCCACTCCTGCAAGCGGTCAGCCAGCAGCGTGGCCTTGCTGGGTCACTGACGCGGTGCTTTTGTAGTTACATGGTTAAAAAGTTCTCAAGTGTTCTACCATGCTCCTAAATAAATCTTGGATTGATTAAAGATTTAATTGGTGGAAATATAAGCAAAAAATAAAATAAAAGTGAAGAAAGCATGTAACATAAGCCTAAGCCACAGAGCAGGGTCAGCAGACATGCAGAAACACATTTTCATTTCATCTGG